AGGATTCTACTGAAAAATACCTTTCCGATGGTATACTTGAGTGACTCCAGGGCGACGAGTCACTCAAGTAAACAATTACCGAAAGATCTTCCGGACGAGACGGTTCAAAAACGGGTAGAACAAGCTGAAGCTAGGCTTGCCAAGCTAAGTTGCCGGCTTCACTTCGCTCCGCAGGTGCCGGGCCTAGCTTGGCTTGCCGGCGGCATTTGGTTGGGCCGAGGGTGTATTCATTCCCCCTGCACACCCCACCTGTGTATTACGCGGTATTACTTGTAATGTAATACCGAAATACGTACGGCGACCCCACCCTTCTGCTTTTCAAAGGAAATACAATTGAACTTGGGCAGTTTGAAGCGTGAATTGTTTGTCAAACAGTCTAAAACCTTGACTTTTTGCTGTTGTTTTCAGTATATCTACATGTAACTCCGATACGGTTAAGGATACGGTGAATTCGAAGTCAGTTGCCGATTCGTATGTGCTGTTTAGGGGGTACTTCCTCTGTCATTTTACGATTGGACGATTAGACGTCCTTATCTTCAGCGTGGTCATTTTCAACGCATTTTCGTCGTTAACACACCACTCTAGCGCCCAAACGGTGCAAGATAAAGCCAAACGGACATAATTTCGACCCGAAGAATACTACTTTCACGAGTTACAAGAAAAGAGACCATGACCAACCTATACTTCTTCCCTTAGGGGTGGTTGCCAGGGTTTGCACCAGGCGTTTCGGTGCCTAGAAGCGAACCGTAAGAAACCATGAAATTTGCAGACCTTAAGCTCATCTCCTTCTTATTACACGGACGACGGATGGGCGGACGGACGGACGGACACGAGAGCGATCGAGGGGGCCTCAACTCCGGCAATCTGGTGTACACCCGCCTAGCAATCCGATTGAAATCTTTAAAAATCCACGGCAATCGGCGAAATATTGTAAAATCCCAGGCAATCTTCAAAAACCGCGGCAATCCAGAAAAATCCAGGCAATCTAGCGAAAATCTGTAGCAATCCTCAGCAACACTGTAAAAAATTTATATAGTACATTTCATATAAATGTATCTGCAGCAATTCACATATACATGTATGGGAATTTTCCCATACAGGCGTATGGTAATTCTACCATACGCGATAGTATTCTTACCATGCAAGTATAGGAATTCTCCTATACACACCTGTGTAGGATAAGTACTATGTGTGTGTGGCATTATCCCTACACATATGTATAGGAATTTTCCTATACACTCAATGCTCTTTCAAAAAAGAAAAAGTTTTTTATTCTTAACCACTTCCCCGCCGTTGCCCTCGTCCCTTGTCGCCTTCCTACCGCCTTTCGGTAATTTCATTTAAGTAAGCATTGATGTAATTTTGTAATACTTTACCGGATGAAGAATTGAACCTCGGACTTCTGGCTTGCGATCCCGTCACGCTGACCACTAGACCACGGCGACTTGTTGGGAGGCGTG